GCCTGGGTCATAAGCTGCATTGGGTTCGAGAAGTGTCCTCTGACGTTCCTTATACTGTGTACTGTGCAGAGCCTTTGCTTCCTGCAAGAGCAGCGAGAAGCTCCGCAGTCCTTGTACCAACCCCAAGAAGAGCTCGGAGAGGTCCAAGCTTCTGAAGGGTGTGGTCCCTGGGTCTTCCAACAGACTAGGCCAGTCTTTCCCCCTTTCGTCCCTGCCCTTCTTTCCCCTTCCGCCCCCCCCTTCCTGTTCCTGCTTCCGCCCCGTCTGCGCCTGGTTTGTAGGGATCCTTTTTAGTGTTGTAGTGTGTGGGCTGTCCTGTGGATGATCAGACACACTTGAGGTCGCTGAGGTCGCTGAGGAGCGCAGCGCCTCAGGAACTTCCCCCGCCGCGCACCCGGGCGCGCGACGGACAACCCCCTGGCGCCGCCCACTCACGGCACCGCGCCGTAAGAGCAGGAGGCAATATAGAAGGGGAGCAGCTGGAAGAGGTCGCCCTCAAGGCCTCGGATGCAGGCCAACTTGCCGCCGACGAAGAAGGCGCTGCCGCCGAAGAAGACACCCTGCTACCAGCCGAACACGGAACGGCAGCGAATCACGACATGGTCGATCATCGCGCCGCGTGGTTACAAGAGGAGCCACCTTGTGGGAACGGCGCTGTTGGGGTACGTCGAGCACGAGGCGCCAGGCCCTTCTCGACGCGCCTGATCGCACATTGCTGGCTGCGGCGCGCGGGCTCGCTGGGCGAGAGCCCATCGCACCTCAAGCCAAGCTTCCGCCCTGCACGGACATCTCCCGCAGCACAGTGAGACCCGCAGCGTCTGCAAGAGTAAACACCGTTGCCTTTGAACACGTCGCGCCCAAGCGCGGCGAAGGCGTCCCCGACCTCGGCCAGGGCAGGCGGCAACGAGGCTGCGGGGGTCGAGGGATGCGAGCTCCCTTCGAGCGCCGAGGCCGCGCCCAGAGCCACGCCAGCCCTCTGGTCGCTGCAGAGACTACCCGGCGTTGAGAGCTCTGGCTACGCGCGAAGGGCGACACACACGATGAGAGCCAGTTTGCAGCGACTCGAGGGAGGAGCCCGTCGCGGCCGTGACCCCGCATCGGGTGCATCGGCACCGCCCGAGGCTGGCGCAGTAAGCAAGGACATGGTCCGCATTGCGCGCCACCACAATGGGCCTGGCCTGCTCGCAAGGCGGCCCGGGGACCTCCACGTCGCACCCCCATCGTTCGCGAACCGCCACTTGCAGTGCCGCCCGCGAAATGAACTGCAGGACCTCGCGGCGCTGTTTCAGCGCAGCTGTTACCGCCTCGGCTACCGACCCAGCCAGCGCGTGAGAGGCCGCACCACAGCGCGCGAGGTAGTCTGCCCAGCCGTTGTCTAGCCAGTCACGCAGCTCCTGCGGCCCTGTGCCCACAAGCTCCTCCAAGGACCTGCGCGCTGGCGCCCATCGGAACATGGGGGGGATCCCGCAGAGTGCGCCTGCGGCTGGCCACGAAGATGCCCCGCCACGCTCTAGCATGCCCGGCGCGACCCTGCTCGAGCTCGGGGCGCCAACGCTCTCCTTCCTGGGCGAGCGCTAACAGGTCGGTGACGAAGCACTGGTGGTCAGGGAAAGCGTCGGGCCCCTCCCTGATCACGCACCTCTCAGCACGGCCGACAGTCTGCAGCAAGTACGGAAGGGGCCCGAACCGCGCCCTAACTGGGAGCCAAGAGGAAGGATCAAGCTGCACAACTGCTTGTCCACACCTCCGCACCTCGGGAACACCAGAGTCGTGACCAGACCCGTCGGCGCAAGAAACGGCGCCCCAAACGCCATGGGCGCCGCCCCAAAGGCAGACACCATGCCTCCGCGCATCTTCGCGCGGCAGAATGGCGGGAGGCTCGGGTGTGCCAAAAACGAGGTAGGACTGCTCGAAGTTCGGCGTGCCTGATCCAAGACCCGCATGGATAAGTTGGTCGCGCGCCTCAGCCAGCACTCGGGGGGGGCGGAAGACACCGCGGCCATTCAGCGTTGGCGTCGCTGCATCGGGCCCGCCATGCCCGCGCGGCGCATCAGGCGCCGAGGCTGAAGCCGCCGCCGCAGGGGGCAACGGGCCACTCTGTTCCGAAGCATCCGGTGGCGCGCAGAGGACACTCTGCGCGTCCAGCCGCGCCTTCTCCTGACGGCCGTCGCACCCATCGGGTGGCGCAAAGTCGACCTCTTCATCAACCCCTTGCCCGATGCCTGGAAAGAAGTCGCCCTCGGCCTCCATGTCGCTGGGCCGCTGGGCGCAGGTGTAGAACGGCAGGGCCGGGTCGGCCCGACCCCCGAGGTGGTCGCGAGCTTTCTGGCGTAGGTCGCCGAAACCCTGTTGCATTTCAGGGGCCATTTTTGGAGGCAAAAGGGTTCCTGAAATACCACGCGCGTTCTGCGCTCGTCGCAGGCCCTGGAGATGGCCCGTCGGCCCCTGCCCCACGGGTCGCATCTGCCCCGCGGGGGGGGGGGCGGGCCAGCAGCGCGGGGCATTCCAAGGAGACATGGCCCCTGCATTCATCGGGCGCAAGGGCCCCCCCGCAAGCCTGACAAGGGCGCGTGGGCATGCCGAGCTTCATGCCCCCGCAGATCGGCATGGGTACGTTGTCAGACCATAGCGCCTGCAAAGCCCCCAGCTGCCTTGCGGCGCGGACACCCTTGACCGCATGCCTGAGCCCACGGTGCCAGATGGGCGCACCAGCGTGGGAGCACATATGGCCGGTGAGGCTGCCATGCCGCCAGCGCTGCACGCCTTGCACCAAGAACGGTCGTAGGTCAGCAGGGCGCACGCGGCACAGGTCATATTGGTTGCCCAGGTCGCCCCACAAAACGCGCGGCTCTTTCATGTCCCAGGCTGGCCGCCTGAGCGCCAACCACGTCGCGGCCAGGGGACTTTTGGCACTGGCCCAAGTGATAGGGACAACCCGCTCATGGAGCGCTGCCCTAGCCCTTTGTAGGTGGCTAGGTGGCGCACGCCCATCCCAAATCCAGGCGGCGTAGTTCAAGACCAGGTCCAGCGTGGCATGATAGATGGGGTCGTACTCCTCCGAAGGGTGAGTAAGGAGGTTGCCGTGACGCCCACGTGGCGTTTGCCACTGCGCCCGTTTAGCACCGCGGCCAAGCTGCGCATCTCGCGCAGGGGCGCACCCGCCAACCCCGACACTCCAGCGCCGTGCCCTGCGGACGGCTTGAGCCCAGTCCGCCACGGGGTGGAGGCCTTGCGCCCTACCGCGCGACGCAGCATGAGGAGTCGGTGCTTGCGCTCCCGCACGGCCTTCAGGCGCTTCTTCTCAACCTTCCCCAGCACTCAAGGGGCATGCAGCTCATGGCCGAGGTTGCGCATATGTCGGGCTTGGGGCACCGCCCGAGGCATCCGCCGCCGGGCCCTGTGCACCACAAAGCGGACCTGCGCTGACCCAGTCACCACCGCGGACATAGCAGGTTGGAGAATCAGCCCGAGGCCCCTGGCCTCTGCAGTGAGCACCATCGCAGTACGCAGCAGCAGCTTGACATTACCGAGGTCGGGGGAGACCGTCTGCAGGCCGATGTCGCCCTCCAGCGAGCGCGGCTTGATGGTCGGCGCAACCCTGCTGGCCCGCTGGAGGACACGGTACGTCAGCAGGTAGATGAGGTGGGTGGCATGCGCGCACCCCGCCAGCACCCCCTGAAAGGCGACGAAGGAGCACGAGAGGCTGCCGCACGCCTTGATGCGCCGCGGCTGCTGGTAGAGCTGCAGCAACATCCAGAGCAGGCGCATCGGGCAACCCAGCCCCCGCGCCTCCCGCATGAGCGCATGGGGACTCACCATGTCAAAGCATTTCACCATGTCGAGGAGGATGGTACAAGTGTGGTCGCCGATGAGGCTTCCCACCTCTTGCTCCAGATTGTGAGCGAAAGCCGTGGCCGTGGATGCGTGGCTGCCTCGAGTACCCCACATCTCGTCGCAATTACGCTCTCGCTGCCACTCTGCCGACAGCCATCGGCGTGCTTCACCCCCAAACTCGCATGAGAGCATGGCTAAGCACAATCAGCCGGTGGCCACCATCTGGCTCAGGGAGACGGACCATCTCACGATGCAGGCGGTCTGAGGGCAATCGCAAGTGCAGCTCAAAAACCTCGAGCATCTGGGCCAACCTCCCGAGAGCCTCATCTGAGAAGTGCTCGAGCGGCGCCTTCGGTGGAACGCGGGTGGGCCCCGAGGCGGTGACGAGAGAGAACGATCGGATGGCCTGCCGTAGGTCATGGACCGCCAGGCTAGGCAGCTCCTCCCAAGTAGGTGCATCCGTGGGTAGAGGCAGCTCTTCCAGCCCATGGGTCGCCCAGATTCGCTTCCACTCGTCCATGGTGCGGTCCGCGAGGATGCATGGCTGGGCGTCGGCCTCAGGGGCAGCGATTTCTTGCTGCGCCCTGACCTTGGATGCAGCATGGGCAGCCTTCGCTCCCCCATTGAAGGCCGCCTGAGCCCAGCTGCGCCAGGCTCTTACCGACGCGCCGCGAGCCGCAGCAGCGAGGTCCTCCGCGCGGCCCGCGATGGCATCTCAATGTCATCAAAGTCCTCCGCAATCAGCCCGCCCAGCCCGCGCAGGAAGAACTGGCAGTAGCAGGGGCCGATGTCGGTGAGAATGGCCTGCCCGACAGCGAAGCTCAGGAAGCAGAGGATGGCGTAGAA